GTCCATTTACACTCTATTTTATTTAATTGACAGAGAACTTTGAAATTATCTTTTCTTTCTATTTCTATTTATTATTTACAAGAATGAAAGATAAAGTTTATATACATCAATGGTGTTGAGTTGATGGAGCTTGTCGTTCGTTTCTGAACAGCAAGGAGTCAAGGAAGCTAGGGTGCCTGGCCTCTTCCACTGGGCAGGAGCAACGTGCACACACTATGAATGTGTGTATTGTAGACAGATTGCTGCAATTTCTTTGCTCATATGCCACTGACTTCATTCCAGCGGAGCAGCCTATGGTTGTTCAGCCTGATTGGTCCATCAGTTCTATCTGCCTTGCAGCATTTCGGGATTTCTTCTCATTTGCTGTGCACGGCATGAGATTGTGGATATTGTGGCGACAGCACACCGTCAACGGTGTGCCTGGCACTGGCCACGGACATTCCTCCTGAACAGCTGATGGTCAGTGGGATGTTTTTAATATTAAGAAAAATAGGAAAAAGAACGCCCTCGAGTGGAGCTGAACCCCCTCATGCTTCAGCTTAATGTCTAAGGTTAATTTAGCTCACTTCTTTGTTCTGCTGCAATGGCCCAGCGCCCCCCCCCCCCCCCGTTCTTCCTTCATGTAAATTTGATTTTGGCTTTGACTTTAACTGCCGTGCATAACACAGGTTTCAATGTTCGGTCAGCTTTGCGGCCTGGTGGAGCCGGTCCTTGGAAACAGTGTTTACGCTTGGCTTTTGGATGTCCTGGACTGTTCAAGACAGATTTTAGGACAGGGAAACTGGGAAAATATTTTCAGGCAATGGGAAAAGGTAGGTGATACTCAGAAGTACAGGTGCCCACAAACTCTGGATTAACTGCGGCTATCAGAACACCCAAACGCAATTCATGTGCTTTTAAAATTGGAAGAGGCCCCGCTGGTTGCTTTATTTGCACTTAGAAAGCTTGAATATAGTCGTAAAAGTCAGGGTTGTTCTTTCATACAATGAACATAGCAGCAGTGGAGTTAGGCCTTTTGTATGCCATTAAGGGAACTAACACATTTCACAGACATGAAATGACGTTTGGGGTAAAGAAGCCATCTGCTCACACTTTGGAACCGACCAGGGTATTCAATATTGTGAATGACTCAATGGCAAGAAAACTTAGCTGCCCATGAATTCTTGGACTGGCTGACGTTATCAAAATGTCTGAGGACAATGCATGTGCTTGTAACACTGGGGAAGGCCCTGCTGGTTGCTCTGTTTCTGCTTAGAAAGCTCGACTCTGGTCATAAACACAGGCCAGGGTCGTAAACATAGCCAGTGGGGTCAGGCCTTTCGTATGTCATGAGGGAGCTTGCACATTTCACAAACTAAATGACGCTTGGGTTGGGACTAGTTCTCAGAATGGGCGTACCCAGCTCTCAATCCTCCCTCGAAGGGAGTAATCATTGTTGCACAGGATCTCTCCAGCTGTAACGAGGGAGAGGATGTGGTACACATACTTTTCAGCCTTGCCAGTGGAAGAGGAACTGGATTGTTGCTCCCCAGCAATAGAATGGACTGTTGCCATTTGGGGCAGAACACGGAACTGGCAAAAATTAGTGCTAATTGTAACTCTCTCTCTCTCTCTCTCTCTCTCTCTCTCTCTCTCTCTCTCTCTCTCTCTCTCTCTCTCTCTCTCTCTCTCTCTCT